AAGCCTGCTATCACTATTCCAAGAAAACCACCAGGTATTGATACATGTCAATTGGAGAAAATCTGCATTTATGAAGCTAGCACCATTATCACATTCGAATTACCACAAAAAAATGTCCTATCAAAGATATACTTTCTGATCCTTTTTGTCTCCAAAAGACATGTTCTTCGATAACCAAAATTTTAGTGATTATGTATTACGATAATAGTCGTAAGTGGCACAATGCTCAATCCATTACAAACGAAAAAGCCATTTTGTAGTTTAGCCTAATCCATAAGTACATTTGCACAAGTTTCTTATTTGTATAATTTTATATGATATCAAAGTATCACAACTATCAAAAGTAGAGGAAAACGGTTTTGAGTTTAACACTAACCTTTAACAAGAACCTATAACGAAAATACGAGGGATTTTTAAATGCTTAATCTTTAAGCTTTACAATAATATGTAAGTATATCTACTGGTATCATTATGATCACATAAACACAAACCATTGTTTTCTGCATGAAGGAATTCCTAGTGCCTGGTCTCATCTAATGATCTTATTCATAAAGTAGAAGAGCAAATTCAAATCTAAAATTATTCCACGGTCTTCCATGAAAAATATCTTATGGGATTGAAAACGGATTTGACTAGCAACTTAGTTTTTAGAAGCCAAAAAGATCAATTGCATGTAGCATTAAAACCAAAACTGTTCGACAAACAGCTTTGTATCATAATGTCTAAAAATGAGTTTCTGAATTATGACAGTTACCAGAAATTAAGATAACCGTTGATGATGTGTTCTTAAGATAAGATGTGCACTAACCTCACGCAAAAACCAATGTTCACATTCTGCATTTGTACCAGAAAATTTTAAAATTTTTAGTGGTAGGTGAATACACCTAGCTTTTACGTTACTTAACACTTTATATCTAAAGAACATCCAACTGTACTTAAGTATATTTGTCTTTTTTTTTGTGACAACCAACATGCAAAAAAGAAAAAGGACATAAGCATTTTTGACTGAATCCGAACGAAATACGTGAGGATATGTTCAATTTATTTCACTTCCGTTTGGTCCAAACAATTATTCGACAAATCAGAGTTATACTAATCTATTTTATGCACCCGTGCCTACCTACCGTTGCTCATTGTGCAACGTGTAAAAATATTTATCGAATTGTACTTTGATCCACCATTGAAAGCGAACCCCAATTTTGACAGATAACAGTTTAAAACTTAAGTTAGACTTCATCCTCTACCACACTACAATTTCTTACAGGCTAGTTATAGATATATATCCAAAAAACAATAATAAATTATATAAATAAGACATCGCTGCAGCACGAGTAAAAACTGGATGATACTTAAAAATCTTCCATAATCGTTATCTACATCTAGGTACAGGTTGTTGAATACAGGAAAGACGAAAAGTAAATGGTGTGTATGAGGGAAATTTAGAGGTATCTTGCTTCTTAATGCTAGGCATATTGACGTATTTTCTTATTTTCGTATACAGTGTAACCTCTATTAAAAAATCAAAGAGACCAAGAATCTGTTGTTACACAGAGTAGAAAAAGAAACAAAATCGTAATAATAAAAGTATTGAGTTCAAAACGTCTCTATCTCGCTTCCTTTTCTTTCATTACAAATGATGGTCTTTCCGTTGGGGACAGAGTTATAAGTGTATGGATTATAAAGCCAATCAACCAAACGACCAGGGTCGATAACACTATCAAAATGGCTCCCATAACAGACAGTTTAATATGTTTTCTAAACATTAATTTTTTTATTGTTCCTTTTACTTAGTCGATGAATTTGGAAATTGGCAAACGGTTATTAAAGGTCATTAAAGCACAGTTGTGTATGGGAGTGTGAGGTGATGACTGCGGAAAAGAATGATGTGTGGTGTTATAGGGGGATGTTAAGAATACCGCGAGTAGAAAAGGTCAGAAATGAAGAGTCACTAGAAAGTTTCGGAGAAGAGAGGGAGATCATTAAGAAACAGGCGAAATATATTGGTAGGACAGCTTGTCAAATATGAAGGACCAGTTAGAGACATATCAGAAGCAGAATCAGGAGTTAAAAGGCGTAGAAGTGAACCTAAACTAGATTAGATTCGCAAACAGTTAAATATGTAGGTTGCTCGAGTTTTCGAGAAATGCGGAGATTGATTGAATGCAAGAACACGTGGAGATGTATCTCCAACTAGTTTTCGGACTTGAAACCAGAACCATCTTTAAATTATTAGAGGCCCTGGGCAGACTAGGGTAACGAGGACTTTATGACATTGACAGAGGACTATTTGGATAAAGCAGGCAAAGAGGTTAGGTTAGGTTAGAATAAGAAGAAAGATATACTTGAGCTTATGGAATGTAAGTTGGTATTCTAGTCAATAATTATTGGTTGATTTGCTCAATATAAATCAGTAATAAATATCAGTTTTCGGTTGGTGGTTCAGATCCATCCACCAACCGAAAACAGGAGCTAGGGGGCTTGTCGACCTCGGGGCCCTGAGCACTTACCCAGTGTGTCCAATGGAAAAAAGAAACCTGCCTAAAACTTGATAATGACATTCTAATAATTCATAACATTTAGTATAACTTCAATAGTTTATTTTGGTGATCAAACTTAACCATTTTTGGTATTTTCTTGATATATTTGTCAATTGTTTGAATATCCCCGTTACTATTAATGTACTTCATATTTGAAGGTAGCTTTGAGATTCTGAAATATATCTTTTTTAATGTAAAATGATGTATAATATAGAAAAAAAGTTGGCACCATATTTTTCTCGAAAGGAAACATGTCGATAGTAATAAAAACGAAAACATTGAAAAAATGGCATACCCAAATAGTTAACTTTGCTACCAAAATAATTATGTTTAGCTATTAGAACGATTCTAAACATTGGAACAATAAAAAAATTAAATAAAAATATTTCAGAAATTCACATTCACTGCTATGGAAGGCGTTTTAAAAATACTTATTGATCCTAGTCCTCGTAAGTAATGCATTTCGTAAAAAAGATTGATACTCCAGAGATTTAACGCTCTATTTTAAATGTATATACCTAACTAGTTGTGAAATTTAGTTGAATTCCAACAGTCCTAAAGTCTTTTAATAGGTATATTGTAGGTGATTGTCAAATGTATAGGTACTAGCCATCTAATAGTAAGTAATTTCTATCTAAATGCATATGCACTTTATGATCTTCACCAGAATTCATGTACTGAAGCAATGCATAATAAAGATATTCAATATCGATTAGTAGTACAGTTGCAGAAGGTGTTTTGTCCATTTCTACACAAGGCGTTTTAATTCAAACTCAAACTCAAACTGTACCATATGTCGTTTAAGTTGCAAGCCATAAAAACTAAAACTTGGTAAATTTTCAAATTTCGATTTTACTGAATTAGTAAAATAAGATAATACGTCTGTAGTCGTGTGGATGATACATAATAAAATATTGCTTTTTGTAATGTAATGATTATTTGGCAGTATCATATTTGTGAAAATTAAAACCTATAGCGTGAAATTTGTCTAACAAGTGCCTTGATTATTTCGATATTTGTTTAAAGATAGCTACAATCGTTATGTTTGTATAAAAATGTAGCTAAATAGAAAAAACTCTACAAGTATAGATAAAAATTGCAAAAATGTAAAAACTTATCTACTACAAACACTGTTGACCAACCCATTTACATAACCACAGTTTTGGGCAAAGGAGAGCAGGGATAAAGAAGGTGTCAAATCGTATTACCTATACAAAAATAACATCTTCTTCTTCATCATCATTCATAAATCAAACAAGTACTTGACTGAATATGTTTGAAAATTAATTTACATTAATATCAGTTCTAATAAATTATTCTCCTGATCCCTGCCCTTTCGATACGCCCATGCACAAACCTTTGAGAATTGATCAATTATTTATCATAAGTAATTACAAATACGTTCAAGTAGGTAGTACCCACACGGTATAGCAATTTCTTACTATTTTTGGATTCTAAAGTAAAAAATACCTATATTTTTAACTAAACATTACTTATACAATATGTATGTTAATTGTACCTAAGCAAAAAAAAATTAACCGATTATATACTTTTAAATTAATTTTTACCTAGCTATCAGTTACTTTGAAAAAATAAGCGTATCGGTTACGTTACATTTTTAACTAGTTTCTAGTAAGTACTACTAAGTAAGTATGTAAAAATAAACGTCAATTTTACAATTATCATTTCACAAAGTATCTGCCATCAACATCGATTTTCATTGATCACATCAAACATCAACTTATATTATCTATTCTTCAATGTTCAACCAAACCAAACTAATATCTAATCAATGACTTGATTCGATAAGTGCTAAGTAGTATACTTATTGTGACACTAAGACGTCGCTAGTAACACCAAACATCAATCAAGTAAATCATAAATAAAATGTCTAGGAAATGCAACAGGCTGGTAGATACAGTTCGATCAATAAATCATCAATTGCGCTAACTTAGATCATACACGACAATTTAACATTAGTTGAGGTTAGGAATAAAAACAGATCGAGTTTTATCTTTAACCTTAAATAACCGACAAATTGTTGACATTAATACAAAGAATCATGGCAATCATACGAAGAGAGAGTATTATTCTAGATGTTGGTTTACCAAAACATCTGTTGATCAAACAGTAACTGTATTACAGTCAAGCAACATAAAGCTATCTATTGATATTCCTACACTTATTATTATTTTTATTACATCTTTTACGCACACAACTACAATTTTGCGATAGGTGTAAAAAATTTACTTGATATCGTAATAAGATAGATAATATAATAATCAACCTCTCAAGATTTACAATAAATATTGCCAAACAGTTAACAACACTTTTTGGCCAACAACTTAAAAAGCGCTAATTATTATTTATTAGTTAGTAACTCTTTAGTTCAATTTCTGCCATACAATTTTCCTTATCTAAATTTACTTATTGTTTGTTTTATATTAATTATTTTTTTGTTTACTTTGTTTTCGGTTTCATGTTGTCCGGTTCTTCTCATAGTGTCTTCGAATTCTTCATCTGCAGGTAGGTGTAGGTTTATCTAACATCGAGGGATTAAATCGGATAACCAATCAATTTACCACCGTTGGTGGATTTTGTTGCCTTCATCTAAACGCCTGTATTGTTATAAATATACGCCACTGGGTTGTCAAGAACAGGGGGTGGCATTTTTTTGGTGGAGGAATTGTTGTTGTAAAAGTGAGAACTCTTTCTCATACTGGTGGACGAAGACATCATGGTCACCGTCTCATAGTATCTCAGTCTTCCGCAACATTTTCGGCTTTTTATGATTGCCACAAACCCCTTTCTGAATTTCTTGTTAAAATAAGCGTATAGAATAGGGTTGATGCACGAATTCGATGCCCCCAACCACTGAGCAATCGGGGTGGCGATGGGCAGTATTTCTTCTTCCCATGGTTCAATCGTTCCCCCTAATTTAATCCTGGCGAAAATGACGTACAGTGGCAACCAGGACAATACAAACAAAATAACGACAGCAACGAGCATCTTCACAACCTTTACTTTGGATTTTTGTTGCATTCTTTCCATTTGGGCGTCTTTTGTATCGGTTGGTATGTTTCTATTCCACACTTTGATCCATATGAGGACGTAGCACATGGTAATGAGGATCATGGGTAGGATGTAGCAGAAGACCATGTTCGCGATGAGAAAATAGAGAGCACCGTTCATAGAATCGGGCCAAACTTCTACACAAAGTTGGACTTCCGGTGCATCTCTGAAAATTACCACCAAATCGAAGAAAATTGCCCACGGGATTGTAGTAGTCAGGGCAATGAACCAAATTAAAAGGATCATAAGCCTTGCTCTGCGCTTTGTTATTTGGCATCTGAGAGGCCACCAAATAGCCAAAAATCTGGAAAAAAAGAAATAACTGATGAATAATACAATAAACGGAAGCTTTACGTTAGTAAAAAATGAAATTGGTTCTGCATTTACAACACGTCAAGTAATCATTCAACTTCTATACAAATGTCATTTAGTGCAAAGTTCAGAATTGTGGGTCTTCCAATACAAGAGACATCGTCATAGATCTTTTGATGCAGACGTAAAAAATGTAACTCAGTTCTTCTGCTGCGCGATTATCTAAAAGCATGAGAAGAGCCCTTTCTGTCCATGTAAAAGAAGCGGAAGATCGGCAACACTGAACATTATATTCCATCGTCAGAATGCAAACCACAACTTTGACTATTTGACTATCAAAATATGGAAAAGAAGTAGAACTTTCGGATTTCTTTATATAGACTTGTCATTAATTCATATCCAGCGTACGGCCCTAATCATTACCAATACCTGTATCAAGAATACTAAAAAAGAGAGGTGCCTACATTAATTCCTGCCTCTCCCAATGTCAGTTAGAAAATATAGAAGTATTAAATTTATACCTAACTATTTCTTTGCGACAGTCTCTCCAGGAAGAGATTTGGAAACTGAAATTACAATAACTGCAAACAAAATATAGAACATGCATTCCCATAAAATTAGCAGTTCCTATCAAAATTGACAACATGGAATCCCATACAGATTGAGTTTTCCAAAATTAAGTAAATCGTTCAATTAGCTTTCAAAATAGAAGAGGCGAAATGATGAAGAAAGTTTTTCGATACCTTCACAACGATCGATCGTGTGGGTTGTATTAATTTAATTTGTGACGAACTTTGCAGTTCATTTCTCCAGAACAGACATGCACCGTTGAGATTAATCCCTTTTTTCAATTGAAGGAGACCATCAACATCAGTTCGAAGACTGATTGGACACCCACCTCCACTTGATCCTAATATCCTGAGCCAAACTTCGCATTTCTCTAAAACTAGAATTCCCTACATCCGTAATTATATACGAAGAAGACCCCTTCTCTTTTTACTCCTTTTTCTGATTCTAATAAGGTCTCTAGCCCCTCATATCTCTGACGATATCCTACCATCGTATCTCTGCTTTTCATTATTAACTTCCGGATAGGGCCCTTTGTTCCCTTACTCATACTAACACCCATAAAGGCATAAAATCATTGGATAGTTATATGAACTTCAACCGAAATACATTCTTCATTATTATGATCAACTTAGTTTAACAAGTGACATTACACAAAATGTAATTTAAAAAATTGATTGTGTCTTTCTTTGCCTTAATTTCTACACCAGTCTGACCTTTAACTGCAAGCTATAATTGCCAAGTTCACAACAAGAAGTTGCACTTCTTTCAGCAAATTATAATGCAATTTTTTCGCAAAACATTCTCACAGGCGTACGTTAATTATTAGTTACGAATGCGAGAAACATGACAGCCACCATGTGACATTTTATACGCCCAGCAGGATATTGTTGCAATTCATGACCGCAGTAATTGAACATTCAATTAGGTCAAGGTGGATCATGTTGCTCTTGGACTTCATTGTCCTCAACGGGATCGTATATACATGTTTGTTTGGATAGAAAAGAAATAATGAACGAAACACGTTACAAATCTGTCTGCAGTTTTAATAAATCAAAACTGATGTCGTTTGCTGCAATAGTTGCGCCCGTATTACAATTATTCTTCTCTATGTTCAGTCTAGTTGTAATTAGAAAAATTTATGAAGTATCTGAAAATTTATTTAATATATAATTTACGAATAACGTGTTTGTTAATAGTTAAATTGTTTAGATTTGCATTATTACTATTACTTTAACCTTATCTATAGCATTTAGGGTAAAAGTGCAGCTTACGACACCCTCCTTGATGTTGCAATGCTGCCAACATAAGCTAAATGTTCAAAGTGTGTAGAAGTCATAGAAACGATACAATGGATTAAGTGGCTATGACTATCATGTTGTCTATCAAACAAAAGGAAACAATATCAACTTCGTTCGTGTTGTCTTTTCTTATGATCCTACACATATCCATCATCAAATAAGAAAGGTGGTATACTTCATTTACTTTCTCTAGCGATGTGCCCCTTCCATTGTCTTGGATGCGCGCTAGCAAAATCGTAGGTAGGGAGAGAAAAGCTCATTACACTCTCGACTCTTGTTCATTAAACATATTTTTTCATACAGTACCTGCCAAAAGTTTTGTTCAATCATGAATAGTAGTGCGAGTCGAAAACAAGCGTTAAAGCCTTTAATATGTCTTCAAATATAAAAAAACATCTCGTTGATATTTTCAGTAGTAAATGGTACCAATAACAGCACATTTGAGCAATGCAATTGTAGTGGATAAAATGGTCAATTTTTCCGTGCAGTACTGTACGGATTATACGCTCCTCACCGGTTAAGAGTTTGGCCGAGAGTTGTCTCCTTCCTTTTCTGGCCCAGTGCTGTCCTTTTCTACTTTGCGCCGATCAAACTGAAGGTCACATCGCTACAGAAAGTAAATATTTGTCATTTTGGGAAACCAACTTTAGAAACGTTGTCATATTTACGTTCATGAAACGTTCTAAAATCAACACCTGGTGTCGCATCTTTTATAAGTCAATATCGGAAGTTCCTGGACTGCAAGCTTTGTAAAACCTCAAGTGGTCATCTGCATTTATTTTGAATGCCATTATTTTTGTCAAATTGCACCTTGAAAAGTGGAGCAAGGTTGTACTGGTAGTCACTTAGTTATAAAACGCAGGCATCGGTTAAGCTTTAAATTAAAATCTACTTGAGAACAGCTGCGGAATACGTTTTCCAAGTTGAGAGTCATTACAAAGATTTATTGTTTTTTATCTTGAAGGTGTTAAGGGAGAAAACAGACACGTATAAACTTCATTTGAATAAAATTTACATCAAACCACCAACGGCTACCTATGTTATAAATGGATTCTTTAACAGAAACGAGAAAGTTTTATTTTGCTAAACAATAGCTCAAGAGATTGGCTATTGCAGAAACGTCAACAGCAGGTAAATAGAGCTCTAAAGTAAAATATGGACCACCAAAAGCATAGACCATATGCGATTTGTCAATATATCAATCCGAAATCATCAAATTTTAGCGTCAAATTAAAGATTCAAATATGAACCACTTGGCGCTATCTAACATTGGGAAGCTAAGTATGTAATTGCTCATACGTGTACTAGAGAACAAAAAGCTTAAGCTACAGGCACTTCTATTTTATAAATATATATTTGTGCATTTGGAAAATTACAGCAGGAAAGTTAACAATAGTTGGGACAATCAAAATTGATAAAGTCCGCAATAAATTATCTGTGAAAATGGACGTATCTTCTTTTATGTTTCCATCTGGAACTAAAGTCAAAGAAGAGAATTCTGGAATGAAAGTTTATACTTTAAAGTTAGAGTCAGTTGTAAGAACCCATCATCTTAAGGTCATCAGTCCTAAGACTGGTTGGACACGCACCTCCACTCTTTTCTATCCTGACCTAATCTTCGCATTTCCCTAAAACGAGAGCAACCCACATCCTTAACTATTTGCGAACAGTAATCTAATCTAGGTCTACCTCTACCCCTCCTAACTTCCCTTTCTGCCTCTAATATGTCTCTGACTAGACCGTCATGCCTGAGAAGATGTCCTACTAATCTATTTCGTCTATTTCTTATTGACTTCCATAGAGCCCTCTGTTCTCCTATTCTTTCTAATATCTCTTCATTTCTAACATTCTCTATCCACGGTGTCCTCATCATTCCCAATAGCTAGTAAATACAAAACTCACTAGGAGAGTGAAAGCTCGATTGTTTTGAGTTTCTTAAGTGATTTTTATTGATATTTCGTAGCTTCCAATCTTCTTAGACATCTACGAATCTGTCAGGAAAATATTTTATTAACCATCATATTCCATGCCGCAATTGTTATTTGATAGTCAGCTTAGAAAATTTTGGGCCCATCGCCACTTCCTGTTATCTTGAATCAATTTTCCCGTTTCTCGAAAATTAGAGGGGCCTACATCACTAACAACTATTTCCTAACAGTTATCTAACCTAGATCTTCTTCCTTTGTCTACTTTCAATACGTCTCTAAATAGCTCTTCATGACGGAGAAAGAGGTCTTCCAACTCATCCCGCATATTTCTTGTTGTCTTCTCATACTCCTTCTAACACCTCCTCATTTCTAACCTTTCTATCCACGGTAGTTAGATCATTGTTATACTTAATTGGATTAGAACTAGGTAGCATATTTATTACTACAAACCACCCTGTATTTGCGAATTTCTGTATAAGCTGGAATATTAATAGGGTCAGGAAGTTTCATCCCTGTGCGTTTAAAAGGATGAAACTCACCTTGTCTTACTAAAGGGTCCCTTACTAGACCCCCGTTTTGTTAAAAAAAGGTGTTCATTTTTTAGCCTCTTAGCTCGGATAAACTCCGTTTTGTACATAAAAAACAAATCGCGGTAATCTCCTGCGTTCACTGGAACAGTCAGCCTGATGCCCAGTGCTTCGTTATGAATGTCACGTGCTCAAACTGAATTGTCTCCCCAAGGGTTCCTCGAGATAAAAAGAAACGGGGGATGTTTAGATAAATGGGAAGCTTGGTTTTTCGCCCTTGAATTTTTTGTTCTGTTTCAAGCGACGATGATAAGTTAAACTTCCGAAACAAAACGTGTCCGTAATTACCATAATGTTCGTTTTTATCATTGGCTTGTGCAAACGATTAAGAAACTTTTCAGGCAGATTGAGTTATTTATTGAGCCTTGGTGGTAGAACTAATTTTCATCAAATACATGAACATGTTTATTTACCTATAGTTTGCATCAACATCCACGTAGATTGAATTTATTATAATAAATAGAAATATACCCAACTGACTAATTATAAGAGTTAAAATCAAGTAGCTGAATATTGGACAAACCAATGGACCATTTAAAATCGGGATTGTTGAACACTGAATGATACGTTTAAATTATTATTTATCATGGTGATAATGATAACTAAATG